GAATTTTCGATGCCCCTTAATCTCCCGTATCTGAGGAGCTACGAAAGGACGAAGTCTTGATTAGTAATTTATCTTGAGCCTGATAATGAAGAAGCTCAATAATTATGTTGGCGCGCTAAGTGCTAGATTCCAAAATTTTATACAAATTAGCTATCAATAAACATTCCTACTAGGAGTATAAAATGCTCTAAATGAGACGCTGGAGTACAACCAGTGAGCACTAACCGTATAGGTGCCTTTGTTGTCAAGGTAAAGACACGCGATAAAATTTTTCCCCCTGAGTGAGTGGCAAAACCCTTAATCACAGGAATAGTAGCACTGCCGCGACTTCGGAGTGTGCGACAAGGGAGCATGCTTTCGCTCAGGCGCTGCAATCGCTGCCATTTTTATCAGCCGCCTCCTGTGTTTTTAATCTCCTTGCGCCACTGTTTCTCTCCGTCGTACCGCGGCCGATTACACAAGGAAAATTTCAGGGTTTCATGATGCTATTAGTTTCTGTTCGCGAATGAACCATTTCGACTTGGGCCTTTAGAACAGCTCTTCACAAAGAGATTTCTTAATAGCACAATTATTTCACAATTTGCTAGACGCATGAAATTTCAGATGACAGTCAGTATCCAGAATCTAATCGTTGAATCAATGAGGGTATCCCGAAGGACCACCATTTTTGGGTGAGTCAGTCGACTTGCAACCCGTAAACATAAAATTTTGACAAAATGCACGGAAAGTACAATCATTTACAACATAGACAAAAGGAACTTAGAGCGAATTGCTACAGGGGGGGGGACAAAAGGCGCTCACAGGGCTCTCGCGGGACACATAAATATTTAAATTCCAAGTTCGCTCATCTTGAAACCTCGGCATTTTCGTTGTTATTGTAATTGTGGGTTGAACTTCTGCTTCGAGGTTGTTAAAAGCCATGTGTAGACCTCTGAAAACGACGGGACGGTCGAAACGTTGGCCAGAATAAATCTTCCACCTTGACAACCTCGAGGCAGAAGTACAACTAACAGTTACAATAACAACTTGAGCTTTCTTTCCGATACGCTCCTATCGGAGTAAACTTCGTAAGACAGTGATTCCTTTTCCACTAGAGAAAAGCCGGGAACTTTGAGCTAGACCTTCCTTTGATGACAGAATAGGAGTTTGTTTGGCCCACTCACCGGGGAAAAGTCGTTCTTCCCGTTGAAAAACCCTCAAATAATGGATCCGAGAAGAACTTGACGAAGGTGGTCGCTTTCTTTCGGGATACTGCGCCTCGTTTCATAATGGAATGTTCTATGCCCTAATGATAGAAATAATTCGACAACGACAGAACGCTGAAATGATGACAATACTGGTTTCTGCAGCATAGCACTGCAATTCCAACCGAAGAAAAAACCTATTGTAAAACCTATTGTTATCAAACATTCAAAGGAATGAACCAGAGGAAAGTCAAGAGATTGGCAATAAAAACACCGGAAATTATTGAAATTAGGTGAGATGAAAATAGTCGCATAAAAGAATGATATACACAATGAAGTGACACAAACAACAATTCCAGAACTTCAAACCCGTTTATCGTCACTGGTAGATGGTGTTATAATGGCATTAAGAGGAGGAGAAAGCAAAAGAATATTTGAGCGTTAGCGTTTTCCTTCTAAATAAATGACTTTAGGAGGATATGAGTGTTCCAAACAGATTATTTGGAATTTGAGCAGCAAATAGAAGAGGACCGAAGCACAAGCGATGAAGGCACTGAACGAGCCGAGCAGGATCACCTGAAAAGTTGGAGTTTACGGTGACGAGTTCGTATTTTGTGATGCAATTCAATTTACAGGTTTTCTTCTTTCGTTGGGAAGCTCTACCCCCGAACTCGAAGCTACACAATTCTTTCGAAGGCGGTCATCCCATACGAACTACCCCCATCGGTCGTCTCTGGTGCCGCCAGCGTCGCTCAGCTTCCTCTCCTCCAAAATTCTTTCCAAAGCTGTTGTTCGAGCAATGATGAGGAGTGC